CGTTAATCGGAAAGGTGTTCTTCTTCTGTACGACAATGCACGTCCACATGTAGCAAGTTTGACGCAACACAAGATTATGGAGTTGGGTTGGGAAGTTATCCCCCACCCCCCATATTTTTCCAGATTACCATATTTTTTGTTTGCTGCAACACCATTTTAATGGAAAAACGTATACATAGAAGGTGTTAAAAAGCACATCGACATGTATTTTGGTTCAAAGCCAAGTGATTTCTTTAATCAGGGCATTAACAACCTGATTGTAAAATGAAAAAGCATCATCGATAATAATGGAGACTATTTCATTTACTAAATGTTTTATTTTGATATATAACTTGTGCGGGTTTTTTCATATAAAAAACTATATTAATTCTTGATGACCTAATGTTTTGTAGCTCATGGGCACAATTACTTTATGAATTTTATAAAACAGTAAAAAAGAGAAACATTATCGTGTGTATACTTTTGGCTCTAGATTACTTTATGACGTTTATAAAACAGTCAATAAAAGAGAAACGTTGTTGTGTGTGTGTGTGTGTTTCTAGCTCTAGATTACTTTACGAATTTTATAAAACAGTTCCCTAATAAAAATATTACCTAATGAAGCTTTGTATTTACTTTCACCCCTAATAAAAATATTACCTAATGAAGCTTTATATTTACTTTTTGCAGGAATTAAGTTTAGTTCATTTCTCCTACTTATATACTCATTCAAAATAACACATGCATGTGTCTCACCACCTTTTCGGTGTAGTACTCGTGTTCTATTTGTCTTGAAGAAAGTTTAAACATTAAACATTAAAAATCTATAAGCTAATATTACGTAACTAAAATCAACCAATATTTTATTTGGATCATAAATTGGTTTCTGGTTTGTATGTCTGACAGATTTAAGAATTATTGTTGCCTTTAACAACACTTTCTAATAATAATTTTTCTAAATTATTCTTCATCTAACCACAGTTTTAGCGTATAAGTTGGTCTGTTTCATTACAAATGAATATTTTTCCAATTAGCCGTATATCATATGCCTTTAAAAGGTTGTGTTAGGACCAAATGAGAGTGGAATTAATTTATTATGCTCAAACTTGATTAGTTTAATGGGTTATTTACCTACCTTACTTCCTTAGTGCTGAATGCATTTTATACTCCGTCTGAATATTTCCTGCTAACACTATTTTATATACTTTTTTAAAATTGTACTTTATACAATATTGCCTGCTCTAGGTGCTGCTCTTAGCTGTCGAGACGTTCAAGAACAAAAGGGAATAAAAGAAGATGGAGAACAAGATATTTATGTACGCGGAAAATTGGTGAAAATATACTGCGCAAAAATGAATACTTCAAAACCCCAAGAATATATATCGTTACCTAGTGGAGATAGCAATAATTATTCTGAAGTGTACGATAAAAGGTTCGTCTGTTATTAAAAGCTAGTAAGGAAACTGTTGTTACTTTAAGTAGCTTGCAACAGATATTCTAAATTATCTCTGTCTCTAAATTATAACTGATGTTAAAATACATGTGCAATAAAAAAAACAATAATTACTCTGAGATGTACGATGAAATGCTTGTTTCTTATTGACGGTGTGAAACTTTCCTACCAACACACACACACACACACAAGCTTGTCTTTTGTTGATTATTTTATAAAATTCATAATGTAATCTAGAACTTATAAATACACACAAAACAACGTTTGTCTCTTATTGTGAAAGTAAATATAAAGCTTCATTGGGTAATATGTTTACTAGTGGTGAAAGTAGATATAAATCTTCATTAGGTAATATTTTTACTAGGGGTGAAAGTAAATATAAAGCTTCATTGGGTAATATGTTTACTAGTGGTGAAAGTAGATATAAAGCTTCATTAGGTAATATTTTTACTAGGGGTGAAAGTAAATATAAAGCTTCATTAGGTAATATTTTTACTAGGGGTGAAAGTAAATATAAAGCTTCATTAGGTAATATATTTACTAGGGATGCTTATCTCATCATAGAAGTCGTATCGTGAGTGCTTATCTCGATACGATACGTGTCTAGATACAAAAGTTCACCAACAGT